AGCAAATTTTTGTATCTTGTGGAGTGTTGAACCCCGCTCTGACGTATCCTGACGTGGACTTTCTCTGTCCCAGGAGGAAGAAAGTTCTTTTCCTGCTTAGGCAGTTGGCACTGACGGCCCGGTTCGTTGGGAGTAATTTGGATGGAGCTGGAGAAATTTACGAGAGAGTAAAACCGTATTTTCACCCTCGTAAACAGTGAATTCCGGCTGGTTTGCATGTTTTTCCGAAGATACGCTAAACTAAACTATCCATGACGTTTGTGCGCTACTCCAGCAGCTGTTGAAGCCGCTGTTGCTGGTTTTGTTCAGCCGTAGCTGCTACAGTAAGCACTTCCGAGCAGGTTGTACATTCCTATAGCTACTGATACATAAATCAAAATGATGGTTCCTATCGTGTTGTTGACTTCTCGTCGTTGGAATGTGTTTGGAAGGAGCGAAGAGGATATAGATATGTAAAGCATATGCCCTTTTACAGCTGTTTCTCTCAATGCTAATCCATAAAACAAACGAGACATTAACGAAAAGTAGGGGTCCAGAGTAAACTAAAATCGTGGCTCTTCCTGCATTGTCGCCGTAGGAAGGTGTTTGAAAGGAGCGAAGAGACGAAAGAAAAATAAAAGTACTACTAGTAGACATTTGTGCCTTCTGCAGTTGGATTTGTGTATTCTGCTGGTTCCACGTGGCCCAGGTTCAATGCTGGCATGCTGCATCGGTACAAACTGTGCTGCAATGCAATCTACAGGAGAAGTAGTAGTAGGCAAACATTTCAGGCAAAGATAGAGATTAGAGAGGGTAGCAAGGGATTTTCGCTGTGCGGGGCCTTCAGCCTGATGCCGGATTTTCTAGCATCGGACCTGGAGCTGCACCTGCATCAGATGGGCTTTGGAGTTGTGCAGTGCACGGCAGGCCCGCGGCGGCGAGGCGGGCCGCGGGTAGCGTGTAATGTGCAGGGCACGGGGAGTTTTGTCCGCAACCTGCTGGATTTTGCTCGCCTCGGTGTCAGCAACCAAGCTCGAGACCGACAACAAGCCCTTGTGTGCACGCTGCTATCAGCGTTCCAATCTCAGGTTCGGCGCTGGTGTTATCACCGGGATTTACTCCCACAGTAACATTTTAGTGAAGAACGCGCGTGGTGTTAAAGGGGCTACGATGCACCTGTCATCTACAGAGCCTTCAGGTCTCTGGTCATCTCTCCAAGAACACGTCTTCGTATCTCCCTGTCGTACTACGCTCTTCAAGTGCGCTTTTTCCCACTTCTCCTTATCATGCCAAGTCCTTGAAAAATAACTCCGATGGGCAGAAAAAAGAAGGGGTTAAGGGACCCTCCTGGCCCAACCCTAAACACTCTAAGATCCTTTTTCAAACCTATTCTGCTCCCATTTTGAGTCAAGATATAGATAGATAGCCACATCCCATTACACTGATCGGGGGCGCTCGTAGTGACTTAGGGGGTCAAAGACCAAGAAGTGGCTTATTTATTGTAGGTCTGGTTGTGTATAAGTGGTGTGAGCGAAGTGTGTGTGGTGTAGGTGTGTGTGTGTATGTAAACAGATGCTATGGTTATATCCAGACGAGAAGTGTCAAAAAAAAAAAACTCGAGACCGCACTGCCCGAGCAAGAGTCCAGAAGAGAGAGACTGCGCTGTCGTCCTCAACGTGCCTGTCGTCTGTCTTAGCCTCGAAGAAGAAACTCTCTCCCGTGTTATATACTTTGACAGATTTTTAGCCTATTCATTTGGTCGTATTTAGCTTATAAACCATAGCTTATCCGTCAACGAACAATATTTTTCTTTCATACCAAACCAACCAACGGTACTTTCAGCCATGGCTTATAAACCACGTTCAAACGAACAGGGCGTTTATTAGATTCAGGAAGATGTGTCGCGGCATCGCGCCGTGCATCGATCGATGAGACCGGCAGAAAGGGACGAGGAGATGCTGTCAATTAAATCGTTCATCCTACATATGGATGAAAACGGTACGGATATTTATTCGACCGTCCGTTCGACCGAACAAATATGAACACTTATCTGGATAGTTATTCGGATATCTGGGTTTTTTTTCGGATACGGATACTAAAACGGATATCTTAGGCGGATATCAAATACGGATGTAATATCATCGATATCCGGCGGATATCGGATAATCCGGATAAGTATCGGATATATCCGGATATTTAAAAACGGATATTATCAGGATATTTATTCAAAATTTAAAAATCACAAATTAGAACCATCCAAACTATCTCAAATGGAAAGTTGACCAAAACAACAATTGTAGATCATGATGAGTTGAACAAACTTAGTATTCAAAACTTTTCAATTTGAAGTCATTTAGAGTTCATAATACTAGAGTCAAAGTGTTGTTTTTTCATTTGACCAAATTTGACTTGGTCAAACTTGCTCAAATGAGACACTAAATGACCTCAGATGAAAAAACTCTGAATACCAAGTTTGATCATCTCAGCAAGATCTACAATTGTTACATAGCTCATTTTCTCATTTGAGAAAGTTTTATCAAACACTAGTCATAAATTCTTGAATCTCATATAGACTTTTTGAAACTATGTCACACACTTGTGAAATTTGAACTATATTTTGTTCAAACTTTCTCAAATGAAAAAATGGCCTATATAAGGATTGTATATCTTGATGAGATGAACAAATTTGGTATTCAAAACTTTTCAATTTGAGACAATCTAGGGTTCCGAAAACTAGTTTGTAAACGTCGAAATTTAAAAATCACAAATTTGAACCGTCCAAACTATCTCAAATGGAAAGTTGACCAAAACAAAAATTGTAGATCTTGATTAGTTGAACAAACTTGGTATTCAAAACTTTTCAATTTGAAGTCATTTAGAGTTCATAATACTAGAGTCAAAGTGTTGTTTTTTCATTTGACCAAATTTGACTTGGTCAAACTTGCTCAAATGAGACACTAAATGACCTCAGATGAAAAAACTCTGAATACCAAGTTTGATCATCTCAGCAAGATATACAATTGTTACATAGCTCATTTTCCCATTTGAGAAAGTTTTATCAAACACTAGTCACAAATTCTTGAATCTCATATAGACTTTCTAAAACTATGTCACACACTTGTGAAATTTGAACTACATTTTATTCAAACTTTCTCAAATGAAAAAATATCCTATATAAGGATTGTAGATCTTGATGAGCTGAACAAACTTGGTATTCAAAACTTTTCAATTTGAGACAATTTAGGGTTCCGAAAACTAGTTTGTAAGCATCGAAATTTAAAAATCACAAATTTGAACCGTCCAAACTATCTCAAATGGAAAGTTGACCAAAACAAGAATTGTAGATCTTGATGAGTTGAACAAACTTGGTATTCAAAACTTTTCAATTTGAAGTCATTTAGAGTTCATAATACTAGAGTCAAAGTGTTGTTTTTTCATTTGACCAAATTTGACTTGGTCAAACTTGCTCAAATGAGACACTAAATGACCTCAGATGAAAAAACTCTGAATACCAAGTTTGATCATCTCAGCAAGATATACAATTGTTACATAGCTCATTTTCCCATTTGAGAAAGTTTTATCAAACACTAGTCACAAATTCTTAAATCTCATACAGACTTTCTAAAACTATGTCATACACTTGTGAAATTTGAACTACATTTTGTTCAAACTTTCTCAAAATGAAAAAATGGCCTATATAAGGATTGTAGATCTTGAATCCATGACCATGACTCCATGAGACCCATGAAGCAATGTGCTTGGCTATTTCTACTCATGCCGCGAAGATTGGTGCTTATATGATGTTTGATGTATGATGTATATGTATCTTTATCTTATTTGTTGCTTTACTCTTTAGTCTTTCGGCTTAATCTAGATGGATTATGGACTCATAGAGTGGTGTAATGGTTTTATGACGTATGATATATATATATATATATATATATATATATATATATATATATATATATATATATATATATATATATATATATATATATATGCTGCTTTTACTCAATATCCGAATAGATATTTGTATCCGACCTTCTCCGAATCCGATTCATACCGTATTCGATACTCATTATTCGTATCCGTAACCGAGTCAATCCGTATTCGTATATGTATCCGAACGCTATCCGTGTCCGAATCCGAATCCAAACAGAAATATGAAAACAAATATAATATGAGTGATATCCGTTCGTATCCGATCCGTTTTCATCCCTAATCCTACGTAGTACATTCCTACGGTAAGGTTTGCGCTAGTTCGCGGCTGCCGCTCGGAGTACACACTCCATCGGAGTATATTAGGACCTCCGACCGGCGGCGATGCACCGGCGACAGAGGCGAGAATTCTGTTCGCATCTCCAGAAGCCAAAAAGGACTGCACTTCACGTTGCCGCCGTCGCCTGCTTGTCCATGCCACTATGCCAGTACATATGAGACGTGACAGCGTCCTGCTTGACACTTCTGACTAGACGATCAATAACGTCCAAAGTAAGTCTTCTCTCTGTTTTTTGGAATGCAGAATTTCCTTTTCATTACTATAATTTTCCTGTAAATTAACTGATTTCTGTAAAATTCAGATATGATTTCTGTGAAAGAATTGTTGGTTTATCGCAATGAACTAGAATTGTTGATATCATTAATGATTTTATTTCAAATAACACTAAGACAATGATACTGTTCAAAAAAAGAGTATGCAACCGAGGGCTGAATATGTACGATTCTTGGTTTATCGCAATGATGTACATGCTACTATCGTTGCATTTTTCTAGGCCGGCCTGCACAGCCAATCCCTCGCCCTCACATATTTCACCTACGATCTCTGCAATCCTCCACCCACAAACCAAGTTCCTGACAACGAGAAATAGCAAGCTGGTGGATACATAGTGTCTGTATATTAGCACCATAAAGCCACCAACAACCCCTTACATAGTGCAGGTTGAACCGTGCAATTGGTAAGCCCAACAAGTACACAAATTAGCAGCTGGTAGATACTGGTAGATACTAGGTTAGGTAAACATTTATACATCAGCTAACTTTCTGCCACCCAAAAGGTTCAAGACACCCAGCAATTTCCAGATGCGAGCTTGTCCAACGCTCCCGCCTCCATAACTGAGTGAAGGAACGAGGAAACATGTTAACATCAGGACAGGCATTCATCATCCTGGAAATTGTGTAACGTTCACTAATTTCTACAAAACAGTAAGAAATCAAACAAGGAGAGTCACTTGCAATGGAAGTACAGTAAGTTTTAGAAACAAACATCTCTTTGGTTCAAACTGTGGACATGTCAAATTAAGAATAAGAAGACAATGTGCCAAGCTATCTACGCTTCCAACAACAGCTAAGGCAATATGCCTTCCGACAAATACTAAACAAACAATTATCTTGCTAAACTTACAGAAAAGGTAATATTTTACCAAAAAAAAGTACAGAAATGAAATTGTGTAAACTACTACTACAAACCTACAAGAGAAAGGTGGAGCACAGAGTTCAAGTACCAATGAAATGTATCTGGAAAGGAAAAGGCGATGGTACAATAAAAAAAACCAACATCAGTTGAAAGAGTCACCTAGTACTTGCTCAGTTCATGCATTGATTGCATGCCTATTAGACATTGATCAAATAGCTTGGACAAAAGGAAGCCATCCACCCAAAATATATTGGCTTTGCAATGTGAGATCAAGATAACCTCACTAAAGCAGCATAGGTCCTTGTATTTTCAAAATTAATGGAAGTGAGATTATAAACATTGAAGTTTGTTGATCAAAAGCTGAAAGTTCAAATACAATGTGGAAATGGGAGAATTTACCCAAAAAAAAAACAGAAGTATGAAACTCTGATTCAACCATTTCAAACAATGAAGGTCAAATTTTACCTGTGCTGCAATCACCATATTAGAAGCTACTAGTTTCATCAGTGTTCACTTTCAAAGTACGAAGTTGCTCGAATTATGTAGACCTGCACCACTTGCACAAGAGAAATTGCTTGGTCAGCATTATAACAATCATAGATTTCTCCTAGTCAGTCCTTAAGAAAAACAGATGGTACTGGAACAACATGATAGATAAGAGGCCATGATAACATCTGAATCTGATAACTGGAAACAATTGAAGTAAATTTGTACAAAGGTCAAGTTTGAAACAAGACAGATTTTTATTTCTTTCTAAAGAATCTTTGATTCCGTAAATTTGGGTTGTTGTTATTCAGTTCCCTGCAGCAACACTCAGCCACCATGCAAGTTCCACTGACAATTCAGACATGTTCTTGCTATGCAAAATAGATCTCAATCACCTTGAACCTTGTCTGCTCAACCAGTTGGAAGACCAAGCAATCTCCATCATGCAGCTTGTGCTCGATGGCGAACCCTTTCCATCCAGTGCTGAGGCCAGCCTTCCTTGCGAGGTAGAGCGTGTCTGACTCGTCATCCTCCTCATCCACCAGGGTGATCGTCTCATCACTCTTCGGCAGGTGCTTCCGGCAGAAATACGTCGGGAGGCCCTGCGATTTCACACGCCAACCAAACAAGAATTTACCTCGATGGGGGGATGAATTAATAATCGAAAACAGCAGGACGTGCCGAACTGAAGCTTCCTCTAGTTTACCAGCCAGAAGCCTCTGGTGACATGGGACTGTATCATGGGCTGGATGAAGACGGGGAAGCTGGAGCCCAGATCTTGCACCAGCTCCTCAGCCTTAGAGATGGCGTAGCTCCTCTCGGCAGCGTCCAGCGGCACCCGCGCATTATACTTGAGCTTCCTGACCCTGACCTGCAGAAATGCCAATTGGATAAAGAAAACCCAGAGAGAAAAGAAGGCCTCGAGCGACACAAGTTCACACTGACATGGTAGTACACGGGCTTCTCGGGGAGGTCGGCGAGTCGGCCGGACCGCCGTAGCGGCTCCGCGCCGGCGGCGACACCGTCCCGCGGCACCTGCGCCTTCCCCTTCTTGGCCTGCAGAAAAAGCCGATTTGGATAAAGTATACCCAGAGAATGACAGAAAAGAAGGCATCGAGCGACACAAGAAACAGCTATCAGTCAAGAAACCGGGACACACCGACGAGGGTTTGGCAGCAGCGGCGGCCTCTCTGACGGCGGCGGAGAGGCGGTGGAGCTGCAGCTCCTCCAGCTTCGGCTTGTTCGCCTCTATCTGCCTCTGCCGCTGCTCCTCGTAAGCCACCGCCACCGCCTCCGCCATCTCCCTTCTCTCTTGTCTGTTCCCCACTTGGATTTCTTTGAGCAGCTTCGGGGAAGAGAGCTGACGAGGCGGCGGTGCAGAGAAAAAAGAAAGAATGGGGGACTTGGAGAGGGGTTTCGTCCTTGTATCTGTGGACCGATCCAGGTGCACACGGACGGCACAAGGGTTCCGAAATTGAAAATTTGTTATAGGATGCAGTTGGCCCATCCCTACTTTCTCGAATCCGAATTATCATTGTCTTGTGATCGCGTCGGCCCCGCACGGCGCACGCCCCGGGCCCGGCCCAAACTGACGTGGACGTCCGGAACAAAACTTTACGCACCGGAACAAAACGAGGTGTGAGAAATTCGCAACCTACTGCCCTTTGCTCGCCGCGGTGTCTGCAACCAAGCACGAGACCGGACTGCCCGAGCAAGAGTCCATAAGGGAGAGACTGCGCTGCAGCCTGCGGTCTGCGGCAGGTCATTTTCTGTGTCGCAAGCATGTTCGTTTCGGCTTATACGATCGTGGATTATAAATTTTTGAAAACAAGATATTTCTCTCACACTAAACCAACCAAAGTAAAGAAGATCTTACGGCTTATAATCCACGATCGTTTCAAATTAGAAGCGAGCAGGTCTGCGTTCTGCCTATCGTCAGTCTTAGCCTCGAAGAAAAAAAAATTCTGTCACGTGTTAATTTGTTATTATATAGTTGGACAGTTTTTGTTAGCAGGTGGATGTACTTCTCCCCGTCCTAAAAAAAACTTGATGTTTTAGCAATTCGAACTAGGTTAGGCCCATATTTTTAATTACTGATTTATTTTCTTAATTATCATTGATCACCTTCATAAAACCTAAGTACACGGCTAATTTCAATGATCACTAATTGACTAATCTATCCTAAAAATCCTAAACATCATGTTTTTTTTGAGACAGAGGTAGTAGAATACAAAGTATCCCAGAAATTCTAGGACATTTTCTGATAAAACCAGATGAGAAATGACAAGTCATCTTTTCTGGTCAGCATATCCGGGTTGGTAATATAAACAAATGACATGTATGTATATGAATGTTGTCTTTTTAAAACTGACTTAGGCCTTGTTTGATTGTTTTCAAAATCAAATGGATTGAAAGGGTTGGAGGGGGTTGAGTAGGATTTTGACTTGTAGGGAATTTAATCCACCTTAATCCCTTCCATTCCCCTTGGTTTTGGGATAACAGACAAGGCCTTAGTGGGTTAGCTCATCTAAAAACCCTTATAATTTTGGGCGCTGGCGTGCACGATTTGGAAGTTCGGCGGGCACACCTCTTGCACAGCAGTTTTTAGTGGCAAAAAACCACACACGCAACTCCGGCGCCCTCACCCCCGCCGTCGTCGCGGCGAGCTAGGGTTTCAACGGAGCTTCGTGGCCGCAGCCTCCCCTGCCCCGACCTGGTCCGGCCGCCGCTGCCGCCACCAGCTCCCCTAAATGGACCGTTGGCCATCCCACCGCCTAGCCGGCCATCCTCCCCCCATCCGGTCCCTTCTATACCCGCCGAAGTTGGAGAAGATAAGGGGAGAGCTCACTGAAACCCTAGAAAGCAAATCCGAGAGGGCCTACATGGCGTGGATCCACCGCCGCCGCATCCGCCATCACTACTACAGATTGACCTATCACCAACGCCATTATCACCATCGCTATCACTAAAAATGATGGTGATAGCTATCACCAATGGTTTGTAATATGAACCGTTGGTGATGAGAGTATCACCGCCGGTTCGTAAGAACGCCCGGGTCGATAACTATCAGCGCCGCATCGTCTTATCAACCGACGGTGATAGTCCATCATCACAGCCAGTTTGCACCACCATCCGGCGATGATGATGTGCTCCTCATCACTGCCGTCTCACCATATGAACCAACGGTGAAGACATTTTCACCACCAGCTCGTTGTATGATACGGCGGTGATAACCATGTTGTAGTATAAATAAATTCATAACTTTTCAAAGAAAGTTAGATGAAAACAAACTTTATATCAAAGTTGTAGATCTTAATGCAATTGACAACTTTGTAGTTGATGACTTTTCATTTGGAACCATTTACGTTCCAAGAATTCTGTTTGAAGCGCTCAAATTTTGAAATTAAACTTTTTTTGAATTGTACAAATGACCCTAGATGAAAAACGACCGAAACTAAAGTTGTAGATCTCGATGAGATATACAACTTTGTAGTTGACAACTATTTCATTATAAATCATTTATAGTCTCAAATTTATATCTGAAGTTTTCAAATTTTAAAAAACCAATTTTTTCAAACAATCTCGGATGGAAAATTGATAAAAAAAAACAAAGTTATAGATCTCAATGAGAACAACAACTTTATAGTTGATGAGTTTTTTATTTGAAATCATTTGAGGTCCCAAAAGTATGGCTGAAGTTTTGATGTTTTGAAATTCAAATTTGTCAAACGACCTCGGATGACAAAACAATCAAAATTAAAGTTGTAGATCTCAATTAGAACAACAAATTTGTAGTTTATGACTTTTCCATCTGAAGTCATTTAGGGTCCTAAATATTCATTTTAAATCATGAAAAGTGAATACTAGAGAAATGGATATGATTTTATAAACACAAGTGACTTAGGGGTGGGGTGGTTAGAGGAGCTAAGGGCAAAGGTCTCAGGTTCGAATCCCAGCACCACTGCATACCATGAAAATAGGCGTGGAGCTGGAGCAGCTTCCTGGTACCATGAAGTTGGAGCTAGTGTGTGTGTGGTGGGGGGGGTGTTCTCGAGATTGAAACAACTGTGATATGCTAGTATCACCGCTGGTTGTAAAACCGAATGTCATCACTATCGACAACTTAGAGCCGAGACATAAAAGCGTTTGTGATGGGCTTTACGAACCGCTTGTGATTGGTCTGAATGTAGTAGTGTATGGCCACGCGCGTGGAGGTGGTGGGGCGCGGCCGCGGGGAGGAGGAGGTCACCGGTGAGATGCTCGCTGGAGATAGAGAGAGGGGGCGGAGGGAGGGAAGGAGGTGCAGGTGCCGAGCTGTGGGGTGTGTGTGCAGCCAGCGGGCGTGTGGGCTGTAGCCTCATATCCTGCGCGTTTTCATTTTACCATTTCCCTATAATTTGTGATAAATTTTGAACACTCGGATACTTTTTTTTTCATGACGTGGGAATAGTTCATTAATTGATGAAGAGGTGCTAATAGTTTGTACCCCTCCAACCAACTAGAAGATCAATCTAAATAATCTCTACTAATTAGCTAGCTACTAATGGACTGTTTGCTTGAACTTATCAGCCGACTTATCAGCTTACAGTATTTTTCTCTCACCACAAAACAAGCTACTTATCAACTTATTAACAAGCCCTAACTTATTAGCACTATACTAAACACATGATAATTGACATGCCCACGACAACCTGTTCATTTGTTAACGACTTATCGCCAATGATAATATCACAATAAACCAAGGCATCAAGGCTTTGCCCGAAACCAATGAACAGGCTCAACGTCGAATCAGGTTGCCCTACGTGCATCATCCACACATCGTGAAAAGCCTCAAAGGTCGCGTTGATTGGAAAACTGAATCTCGAGTTGCTGTTGAATGTGGCATAAGCTGGTGTCTCACCAAATCTGACTGAGCAGCCAGCAGTCTGCTGAGCTAAAAAAAAAGAGTAAAAAATTAATGACCAAATCTGACTGAGCAGCCGAGCAGTCTGCTGAGCTAAAAAAAAAACTCTGCTGAGCGAAAAAAAGTAAAAAATAATGACCAAATCTGACTGAGCTTAAAAAAACATCCGCCTAAGGGCCGAGGCTCTATCTGCACAATTTTCAGTCTAAGGCCCCGTTTAGTTTTATCCAAAATTCAAAAAATTTTACGCAGTATTCGTCACATCGAATCTTGCGGAATATGCATGGAGTACTAAATGTAGACGAAAAAAAAAACTAATTACACAGTTGACCGAGAAATCGTGAGACGAATCTTTTAAGCCTAAATAGTCTATAATTAGATAATTTTTATCAAATACAAACGAAAGTACTACAGTAGCCAAAAGCCAAAAAATTTCGAAACTAAACACGCCCTAAATGTCCAAAGGCTGTAGATTTGATTGATGAAATTGCTGGCCAGAGGTAGCGTGGACGGGTTACCTACACCTACAGGTCATTTTTGGAACATGCACTTTAGCAGTCGTGTCGCCATGCTCGTGCATGCTCTTTTCAGCAATTCAGCTCCTAGGGTCTGATTGCCGAATGCCCAAATGGCGAGTGAATGCGGGTGCGAGCAGTGCACCTTCTTCCTCGCGTTTGGAAACTGTTGTACGAGCTCGTCACCCTCGTCTTGTTCACGTTTACATATATACCGAGGTAAAAATGAAAGACCCTACTATTCAAAAAAAAAGAAAATATGAAAGTCCCTACCAAGTACCAACGCTTTTGTTGAGGGTTTCCTCCCCGTCTTTCCTTGCTTGGGAAGTTTCCACGCGAAGCAACCGAGCCAGGACACGAGTGCAACCACTCCGTTCGGCCTTCGGGGGCCCGATACGGCTACTCTGTTTTCCGGTTCTCTGCAGCCGGCAGTGCTCCATCCAACTGGAACCGGGACATCTTCACCGACCAAACACGAGGTAGTGTGGCCAGAGAGAGACTCTGCATCGCGGCAGTCATTTTCCGTGCTGCCGTGTCTGTCCGCGGGTCAGCCGTCCAAGTGGCATCGGAACATTGAACTCCCTGGAAAAACTCACTCACACAGGGCATCTGATACTCCGTACGTGGTTGGGGATGGGCGCCTTGATTTTATGGTTTATCTGTCATGTTTGCGCTTTCCCCTCCCTTAATTTTCCACGTTACCAGTACTCCCTCCGTTCTAAAAAAAAAGTCGCTATGAAAATCGTGCTGGTCAAACTTTCTCAACTTTAACTAAGTTTGTAGAAAATACGTGCAACATTTATATCTTCAAATAAGTTTATTATAAAAGTATATTCAACGATCTACCTAATGATATTAATTATATACCATAAATATTAATAT